AAAAAAAACAAAAAAAAAAACAAACCCTAGGAAGTTTTAAGCAAGGAGGCAAAAGATCTCTACAATGAAAACTACAAAACACTGATGAAAGAAATTGAAAAAGACAAATAGTATTCTATGTTCATGGATTAGAATAATTAATATTGTTAAAATGTTCATACTTCCCAAAGTGATCTACAGATTCAACACAATCTCTATCAATATGCCAATGACATTCTTCACAGAAATAGAAAACCCTAATATTTGTAGTTTTAGTTCTTTAAGTCATTGGTCCATTTTGAGTTATTTTTTGTGTATGGTGTGAGGTAAGGGTCCAACTTCATTATTTGCATGTGGACATTGTTTTTCCTTGTATCATTTGTTTAAGAGACTATATTGCCCTCCCCACCCATTAGATTGTCTTGGCACTTTTGTTAAAAAAATCAGTTGACCATAAATGTAAGAGTTTCTGAACTCTCAATTCAATTGATTGTTTATGTCTATCTTTATGCTTTTATTATTGTCTTGATTACTTGATTACTGCAGCTTTATAGAAAGTTTTGAAATTTGGAAATGTGAGTTTTCTGACTGTTCTTCTACTTCAAGATTGTTTTCGCTACTCTGAGTCCCTTGCATTTCCATATGCATTTTAAGATCAGCTTGTAAAAAAAAAAAAAAAAGTTGGGATTTTAATAGTGATTGCTTTCAACCTGTAGATCAGTTTGAGGATGAGCAATACTATTTGATTATATTATTGAGCATCAGAAATGCATTGACTTTGGAAGTAACAAATTAGCTAATTAGAAACAAGCCTTTTAGAGTAATGAGAAAGGAATTTGTTGAGCTAGTGCATCATTTAGTGGAGGGAGGCCTTTGAAACTCAGACTAAGGCATTTGAATTTTATTAGCGATTTTTATTTTTTTTTTATTTTATTTACTTTTTTAAAAAGATGGGGTTTCACCATAATGGCCAGGCTGGTCTTGAACTCCTGACCTCAGGTGATCCACCCACCTCGGCCTCCCAAAGTGCTAAGATTATAGGCGTGAGCCACCACGCCTGGCCCAATTAGAGGTTTTTATAATTTTTTCCCCTTAAATTGTACTGCATATGTAGGTGATTTTGTTATGATTCCAGTACTATTATATTTTCCATTGCACTAAAAAGGGCTTTTTCCACACACAAGTGGATGATTTAAATCAGCCAAAAAGTATCAAATACCTTTCAGAGTGGCCACTGCTAACCACTGTAGGAGAATAAAAGAACTAACACACACACACGCAGGAGGCTGAGGTGGGAGGATCGCTTGAACCTGGGAGGCAGAGGTTGCAGTGAGCCGAGATCATGCCACTGCACTCCAGAGCAACACTGTCTCATAAAAAAAAAAAAAAAAAGGCTGGGCGTGGTAGCTCACGCCTGTAATCCCAACACTTTGGGAGGCCAAAGCAGGTGGATCACCTGAGGTTAGAAATTCAAGACCAGCCTGGCCAACATGGTGAAATCCTGTCTCTACTAAAAATACAAAAATTAGCTAGGCGTGGTGAAGGGCGCATGTAATCCCAGCTACTTACGTAGCTGAAGCACAAGAATCGCCTGAACCCAGGAGGTGGAGGTTGCAGTGAATCCACATTGCAGCACTGCACTCCAGCTTGGGTGACAGAGCAAGACTCCATCTTAAAAAAAAATTGTAACAGCCCTTGCCCTCAGGCACCCTACAGTTGAATAGAGAATAATTATGTTTAAGGAAGTGACACCTGTTATTTATCCTTGCTTGCCTAAGACCTTGAAGCAAAGTACTAAGTAGACCAAGATCATGAGTTATTTCTGGAAGAACAGCTCCCTATTAAAGATTTGGTCCTAACCCCAACCTATTAGGTGGAAAACGTGTGTCATGTGCAAGTGGGTTAGCTGTCTCAGTGCAAATTCATCCACAACAGTCACTTGAGAAGAAATCCAGAGAGAAACGCCTTAGTAGTGCCATAGTAGTTTCATTTTGAGAATCTTTATTACATATAACACTGCAACTTTCAAAAAATATTTCTCTTAATTTATATAATTGTAATATTAGTAGAAATAACAATTATTTTAAAATTTGATTTAGTAACTCCATATCCTAGGCAAAGAGCTTCCCAGGGAGAGTGGTTATGTGTGTGTATATATTTTAATAATTTGTTTTGCAATTATCTCAAATGTATAGAAAAGTTGCCCAAACAGTGCAAGGAAGTCCCATGTCCCCTTCACCCAGACTCCCAAATAGTTAACACTTTATTGCACTTGTTTCATTGCTCACTGTGTATTTGTGCATGTGTGTGTATACATGTGTATGTATCCCTTGTTAGTCTTTTTCTGGACATTTTGAGAGTCAAGAGAGCATATTGAAGAGATAGTGTCTCATCACTCCTAAACACACCAGTGTGTATTTCCCCCTAAACAGGGACGCTTTCCTACCTAAAAACAAACTTCCTCATCAGAAAATCAGTATTGGTACAACACTAACATCCAATTCAGATGAGATCAGGCACATTCAGAGTGGTATGCGATTCACAGAGCTAATTAACATTTTACCCACTGTCCTAACAATGTTGTTTTCCTTTCTGGTCCAAAATGCTATACAGAGATACATATTGCATTTAGTTGTCATATAGCCTCAGTCAGAGACAGTTCCCAGTCTTTCCTGTCTTTGGATGGTCCACAACCTGAGTTCTTTTGATGGTAGGAAAACCAAAAAGGATGCTTTGTTTTTTTTAGTGTGTTTCACCAGGAGACTCACAATGTAGACTCCTACCAACACTGGTGATATTAACCATGATCACCTGATCATGTTGGTTGCCACTGTTCTCTCCTCTGTAATTGAGTAGTATTCCTTGGGAGAAGCATTCCAAAATCACACCAATATTCCATGCCTCATAGAACATCTACCCACCAGCCTTATCGTTCATTGAAGACTCCTGCCTGAATCATCCTCCTCAGTAGTTGTCAAATGGTAGTTCTGTATTTCCATCCTTCTCTCTACACTTCTGGGTTGGCATCCTGCTGTAGAAAGAGTTTTCCTTTTTCTCTGTATCAACACGGACTTGCATATCCCTATTTTATTCAAAGGATTGTAATCCATTATTGTCGTCGTTTACTTTTATGCTCAACTTGTCCCTCATTTGGCCCATGAGAGTCCCTTCAAGTTGGTTTTTAACCCTGAAACATTTTAAAATATATATATTGCCAAAATTCATCTACGTTGTGTGTGTGGCTGCAGTTCATTAACTTCGACTGCTTGTAATATGCCATTTTGTGACTATACCACAGTTTGTTGGTCCACTCTTCCACTATTCCGTCGACGGGCACTTGGGCTGTTTCCAGGTTATTGCTACTGTGTTTTGCTATTCTAGCTCTTTAATGTTAAATTTTGAATGCATTAAAATTTCCATTAACATCATAAACTTCAGGTCTGTTTATTGTACAAATATTGAGAACCTGGAAGGAAGGTCATTCTGTACTCTCATCAACAGTGCATACAGGCTCATTTGAGAAATATTGTCTTATTGCATATTTCATGGAGAAATACTTAAATGATGTTTTTAAATCCATTTAACAAAGGCCTTTTTCTTTAAATAAGCTTCCTTTTGTTGTTTTCCCTCTTATTATGGAGAAATATTGAAATAAAACAGTCGAGAAAGCGAAATGTAAAGGTGGAAACTTCTGCCCTTAACCCAGACTTGCCAAGTTAAAGCAAACGCTGAAACAGCAGGGACTCGAAGTGAGGAGGCTGCAGCCTATGCCACGGCGCAGGCGCAAAAGCTCAGTGTGACGCACCGTGCTCCGGGCCCCAGAAAGTTATCGCGAGTCTTGGAATAAGCTTGCTCCGATTGCCAAAAGTAAGTTCTCGCGAGAGGTAGTTGGTTGCTATAGTTGTCAAAAACTTAACGGCGGCTGCCGCAGGTAAGACAGTGATCCCTCCTGAGGAAACCCTCTCTTCCCCGCCTCCCCACCCCGGCCCTGCGGCCACACCATCCGGTCACCCCTCTCTCAGCTAAAGCTAGGCTGAAAACTCCGTTATTTAGACCGAAAAGCCGCTGCTGGCTCTGTTAGGTGCAGACGACTCTTCCGCCAGCGCTAGCCCCAGCCCCAGCCCCGCGACCTCCGCAGGATCGCGGACGTAGACCTTTCTTTTCCGCTTCTCATCATAGGCCCCCTCAGTCCGCGCTGACTGTGCCTGTCCCCAGACCAGATCAGTCACATCGCCTCCTTTGTCTGACGTTTTTCTCACTGGACTCTCCTCTTGCAGCTTTTTCCAAACAGATGACAAGAAACGCATTCCTTGCTGGGGGCAAAAGGAGTCCCCCACCCTAGCTTCCCTGACCATAACTTTAGTCCTATTTTTTGCATTCATAGTTTAAACACTACCCGAACGACTCTTGTGTAGACATAGTCCCAGGAACTCGGGGTCCGTAAATATGCATGAGATAGGTTACATGTCTTCAAGGATGTAATTGAGCTCTCAGGAAAAACGCTGCATATTATTTTTTTTCTTTCTTTTTTTTTAACGCTGCATATTATTAATACCACTTGTGCAATGCTTCATAGCTTAAACAGCTTTAATATCTTAGGGGATATTCACAACAAATGTGAAACAGGTTGAAAGTTATATTATCCATTTTACACAAGGTGAAACTGAGTCCTAGAGAAGTTAGGCATTTGCCCAGGGACACATATTTATTAAGTAGGAAATGTCTTTTGAATCCCCAATCTTCATAAACAGGACAGCTTGTGGTAATACCAAGAGAAATGTAAAGTGCTAACTGAATTCAGAGGAGAGGCAAGCTTTTCCAGCTGAGAAGCTTCATAGACTAGGAAGCATCTGAGCTGGATCTTAATGAGTAGGATTTGCTGTAGAGACCGAGTGAGGAGAAAGGGAGAGAGAATTCCAGGAGGAAGGAAAAATACAGAGGTTCAAAAGTGACTAAATGCAGGTAAGCTTTGAAAAATACTAAGCAAGAGCATAAGCTAGAAGAGGGGAGAAGTTGACTGTCACTGCAAGATCCTAGAAAGCCCTGAATGTAGTACTACGTTTAACTGCAGTTAAACTGTAGTGTTAACAGTTTATTTGGTAGGTGAGAGGCAACAAGACAGTGATATTCAGATCTGTACTTTAATAAGGTATTTAACTGCTTGTCTCCTCATTTTCTCCTAATTTCTTCTTACAGCACACTCCAAGCCTACTACGCTACTTGCTCGCTCGCTCTCTCTCCCCCCTCCCCCGCCGTGTGTGTGTCGTTTTGCTTCTGAACCTTTTTTTTTTTTTTTTTTTTGAGACGGAGTCTTGCCCTGTTGCCCAGGCTGGGGTGCAGTGGCGCGATCTCCGCTCACTGCAACCTCCACGTCCCAGGTTCAAGCAGTTTCCCTGCTTCAGCCTCTTGAGTAACTGGGATTACAAGTGCAGCCCACCACCCTCGGCTAATTTTTTTCTTTTTTTTTTTTTTTTTTGGTTAATAGAGACGCGGTTTCACCATGTAGGCCAGACTGGTCTCTAACTCCTGGTCTCAAACTCCTGACCTCATGATCGGGCCACCTGGGCCTCCCAAAGGGATTACAGGCATAAGCCACCGTGCCTGCCCCGCGTCTGAACCTTTTAAAATCTGTTCCCTTTCTTGGACTATCCTTCATTTTAGCATAGTTCCAGGGTACTTCCTCCAAGATTTTCCTGGCATGCACATGTATTCTCAAATCAAGCCAGGTCCCAGCTTCATTCAGCACTTCCTTGCTGTATGACTGATGGTAAGATAACAAACTTCTCTGAAACTCAGTTTTTTTCACTCAAATAGATTTAAGAATCACCTAGAAGGGAGGCTACATGTAAGATAATAAATGTGAAGCACACTTGGTACACTGGCCCTAATCAGTTAATTTCTTTGCTTCACTCATTCTTTATATTTGTAAGAGAAAAAAAGTTAATTTTCACCCCCTCTTCCCTGCTGTGTGTTTCACTTCTCCATCTTTCCTCTGTCAGAGTACCTATCACACAGATTATGACTCCTGGTCTAGTTACATGTCTTTTGTCCTCACTAGATTTTAAATTTCTGAGGTTAGAGGGTTCACATCTTATCTCTTGTATCCTCAGCACCCACCACAGTGCCAAGCTTAATGTTTTTTCAGTGAGCAATTCTGACAGAAGCAGGATGAATTAGAGTGAGAAGCTGGAACCAGAGATACCAGTTAGGAGGCTTTTGTTAACGGTCTAGCAGAAGGGTAATGAAGGCCTAATGCCGTATTATTGAAAAGGAGAGAAGACTGATACAAAAGGACATTTCAAATGTACATTTGACAAAGAAGTTGTCGGTACCATGAAAACCCTGAAAGAGCCCAGAAACATGTTTTTGAACAAGTGATCTGAGACTTTTAGGTGACTGGAAAAATGCTGGAGTAGCTGAGAAGAGGCAGAATGATTATAAAACCTGAAGGCTGTAAGATGTTGTTTTCTTTTTTGTATCACCAGATACACTTAACATAGTATGTCCTCCGTAAATGTTTGAATTGAATTAGAAAAGAAGACCTAATTTTTTGCAGGCACAGTGGCTCATGCCTTTTAATTCCATCACTTTGGGAGGCTGAGGCGGGCAGAATGCTTGAGCCTAGGTGTCAAGACCAGCCTGAGCAGCATGGCGAAACCCCGTATCTATGGAAAATACAAAAATTAGCTGGGCATGGTGGCACATGCCTATAGTCCCAGCTACTCAGGAGGCTGGGATGTTGAAGCTGCAGTGAGCCATGATGGCACCACTGCACACCATCCAGCCTGGGTGACAGAGTGAGACCCTCAAAAAAAAATAAAAGACGTTTTCTAAAGAAACAAATATCCAATTTATTTTTGAATTTGTTTGTATCCTTAGTATTGTAAAATTGGCAGTATATCTGACTAAATAAGAAATATGTCAAGACCTTTTCCAATGGACTACCATTTTACATGGCTGCTTCTGTCCTGCTCTCAAAATATGTTTTTGTAAAACTGAGAAGTTAAATAATCTTAGAAGGACGCTTTGCAGATTTAAAAAAAAAAAAAGGGTTACCAGAGAACACTGTGAAGGATGTAGGGCAGCAGTCCCCAAACTTTTTGGAACCAGGAACCAGTTTTTGTGGAAGACAATTTTTCTACAGACTGGGGGCAGGGAGGTTGGTTTTGGGATGATTCAGCACATTATATTTATTGTGCACTTTATTTCTATTATTATTACATGGTAATATATAATGAAATATTATACAACTCACCATAATATTTCCTGCTACTAGACAGTCCTGTCTGGGGGTGATGGGAGACAGTGCCAAATCAGGCATTAGATTCTCATAAGGGGCATACAACCTAGATCCTTTGCATGCAAAATGTTACAATAGGGTTCACACTCCTGTAAGAATCTAATGTTGCTGCTGATCTGATGGGAGGCAGAGCCCAGGTGGTAATGCAGGTGATGGGGAGTGGTTGTAAATACAGATGAAGCTTTGCTTGTTCACCTGCTGCTCACCTCCTGCTGTTCGGCCCAGTTCTTAACAGGCCATGGCTGGTACTGGTTCATGGCTCGGGGGCTGGCGACCCCTGATGTAGGGGATGGGAGGTCGAGGTGTTACTACTTTGTCTTGTGATACTTTGTGCTTAATGGGTTAGTTACCTGTATAAACATCTTTTTAGCACTAACCAGTGAAATCATCCTTGTGACCAGCTCCCTAAAGCACTGCCTATCCAGCAGCAAAGGTCGGATGTGGGGAATAAAACAGCGCTGGACTATGGCATTTCCTTAGGTTTTCCCTGATATTGGTTATGATGGAATATGGGCACTTGTGCAGCTGTTGTACATGAGAGGACAAGTTCATTCATTCTGTTTACAGAGACCAAAGAAAACCGGAGGAACTTTACCCAGTTGGTGATATGGAGCAAGTGCCATCAACAGGCAGACTCGTGCAGATCACTGTGACAGAGGGATATGATTTGGTAAAGTTACTTTTGGAAATTTATAAAATCCTTAGTTTTGGGAGTACCCGCAGAAGGAATGAAATTTTGCTTCATTCTCCTCTACCTCCAAACCTTCTGGCTTTACATAGCAGCGGCCTTTCACCTCAGTGTTCCTTATTGTTAGTCTCCAAGTCACATTACTGTGTGTCTCAAGTACCTGGCAATCTGAATATTAACAGGGTGAAAGAAGCAGCGGTTTTAGTTTCTGTAGACAGCAGTTCACATGTAATTTTTTTTCCCCTTTCTCCTGAGAAGGATCTGAATTCTTCCAGAGTTTCCCTTGTGATTAGTTCCATTTGATTACGCCTATAATCCCAGCATTTTGGGAGGTCGAGGCAGATCATGAGGTCAGGGGTTTGAGACCACCCTTGCCAACATAGTGAAACCCTATCTCTACTAAAAAAAAAAAAAAAATGCAAAAAATTAGCCAAGTGTGGTGGCAGGTACCTGTAATCCCAGCTACTTGGGAGACTGAGGCAGGAGAATCACTTGAACCTGGGAGGCAGAGGTTGCAGTGAGCTGAGATCGCACCACTGCACTCCAGCCTGGGAGACAGTGTGAGACTCCGTCTCAAAAAAAAAAAAAAAAAAAAAAGAGAACAACAGTGTGATATACTAAAAATTAGGAGTAAAAAAAAAAATTAGGAGTATAATAAAATGGGAAAATATTCAGTATATTAAGTTTAAAAAGATCATTCCAAAAGAGGATATAATTAATGAGCTCCACTTTGTTTTAAAATGTATGTATAAAAATGAATATAGTCCGGGTGTGGTGGCTCACGCCTGTAATCCCAGCACTTTGGGAGGCCGAGACGGGTGGATCACGAGGTCAAGAGATCGAGACCATCCTGGTCAACATGGTGAAACCCCGTCTCTACTAAAAATACAAAAAATTAGCTCGGCATGGTGGCGCGTGCCTGTAATCCCAGCTACTCAGGAGGCTGAGGCAGGAGAATTGCCTGAACCCAGGAGGCGGAGGTTGCGGTGAGCCGAGATCGCACCATTGCACTCCAGCCTGGGTAACAAGAGTGAAACTCCATCTCAAAAAAAAAAAAAAGAATATATATGTGCATGTATGGGTACACACATGTACATCCATATATTCACAACAAAACACTAGAAAATATATTCTAAAATGTTAATAGTGCTTACATGTTAAAGTAAGATTGCAGGTAATTTTCTTACTTTTAAAATGTTCCTCAGCATACTTTTATTATCAGGTGAAACAATAAATATTATTTTTAATATCCTAACAACAGCACTTAAATGGAATGTTGCATTTAAGTAAAACTAGATTTGTTAGCTGGGTGCAGTGGCTCACGCCTGTAATCCCAGCACTTTGGGAGGTTGAGGCAGGTGGATCACGAGGTCAAGAGATCGAGACCATCCTGGTCAACATGGTGAAACCCGTCTCTACTAAAAATACAAAAAATTAGCTGGGCATGGTGGCGCATGCCTGTAATCCCAGCTACTCAGGAGGCTGAGGCAGGAGAATTGCCTGAACCCAGGAGCGGAGGTTGCGGTGCGCTGAGATTGAGCCATTGCACTCCAGCCTGGGTAACGAGAGCGAAACTCTGTCTCAAAAAAAACCCACAAAAAAAACTAGATTTGTTTAATGATATTTCTATCTATTTATTTTGTATTTGTGATGTGGCTTGTTAGGAAAAAATGAAAAATGCTGTTTAGCCCAAATCAAAATGGGTTGCCAAATGTGTAGGAAAGTTCTCTATTTGAATATAATTGTAAAGTGGTGTGTTTCTGCCAACAGAAAGGTTTTAAAGGAGATACTCCAGTTACCTTTATTCGTGCAGAATTCAATCAAGTGGTTCTGGGAGACTCTGCAAAAATTACTGTTTCTCCAGAAGGAACTGCAAAATACAACTTCACTAGCAGTTTTGAGTTTAATCTTGAAGGAGGAATCACTTTAGATGACCTCGCTCACAAACCTGTGTTCTGTAAGTCCTTGTGGTTCTAAAAATCAGTGTCTTGATTGCCTTCTTCCTTATCATGTTGGATGGGAAAAGCAGAACCAAAACATTCTTTTAAACACATAACTAAAATCACAATAAAGACAGGGTAGTTCTTTTGTTCCCAGAAGCAGTGCAGGAACTGAAAACTGGAAATCTTGAACAGCTGCCATTGGTATGTATATGTTAGTGGAGGTGTGCAGGGAGAAGGCAGTACTCCTGAACCTAGGAGCTTGGATTTTAATGCTCTCACAAGGACAGAAAAGCTTTGACTGCTGTTGATGGGGGAATAGAGACTAGGACTACCTCCCCATCACAAGTTAAGACTCTCAAAAGGAATGGACCAGGAAAAAAAAAATCTATCAGCATCTCGTGTCTAGATCCTGGGTAAAGAAAAGAGTCTTCACTTGGAATAATCATAGGCTTGTACTAACCATTAAAGAATTATATATTTTTAAAACACAGGAGGAACATTTATATAATAGCGATTGGCTACATTCTAAGCTGTAAAGCAAATCCTACCATGTATCAAAGGATCAATAGCATACAGACCACCTTTTCTGCCAAAATGCAACAATCAACAAAATTAGATAGCCAACAACAAAAAGATAGCCAAAAACCATTTGGAAATTTAAAACATACTTATGAATAATTCATGGGACAATTTAAAAAGTTGTAATAAAATTGCAAAGCATTTGGAAAAGATCAACAGTAAAATACCAAATATAAAAATTTGTGGGATATAGTTCAAGTTGTACTTAGAGGTACATTTATAATCTTAAGCATGTTAATTAGAAATTAAAAGGATTAAAAACAGAACTTTTGAGAAATTGGAATAGATTTACTTTTCTCTGTTCCTCCCACTGAGTACAGCTACAAACCCTGGACATTATATATAAAACAAACATAAGAGACTCTGCAAGGTAGAGAGAAAGAAACTTGGGACCTGGGGAATGAGAGTGGTGAGCTCCTTGGGTTTTCTTTTTGCCTTATATATCCCAGACTTCTTGCTGAAAAAGGTGGCAACCTGGAGACACGAATGGACACAGACCAAAAACAAAAAAGAAAGAAAGAAAGAAAGACTGATAAAAGTCTGCTCTGTGTAGCCAAAAGACTATGAAAGGGGCAGCCTAATAAGACAGAAAAGTTTTTTACAGTAACTGCTGTACTCTAGCAAACACCACATGAAAAAATGGTAGCCCCCACCCTCAATCAAGCTGAGTGGACAGCCTAGACTTCCACTCTCATAAAGCTCAAAAATGAGGTTCTCCATTACTCTGGTGATATCAGAGAAGACCAAGTAGGGAGCCAGGATTTTTATCCCCTCTAGTAATAAGTCCCCTTCTATACCCCATAATGTTAGTGGAGACCATATGGATCTTGGACATCTATCCCAAACTGTCAGCAACAAGGTGCCCCTTCACTTCCCACTGGAGTGGTGTCAGAGGAGGCCTAGTTTAGAGTCAGGACTTTGACCATCATCCAGGGATAATGAGTCCACACCCACTGTGGTATCAGTGGAAACCAAGTAAAAACTCAGGACTCCAGATCCCCTACTCAGCAGTCATGAGGAGCTGCCCCCATCAGGCATCAGCAGAGGCTGAGTAGGGAACCTAGACTTCCACCCCAGCTTGGCAGTAATGAGGCAGCATTTCCTTCTTTCTACTGTTGGGGTGGTGTTGGAAAAAGCCAGCTAAAGCAGAAGGTGTAAGTAAGAGCCAGAGATTCATAATAATAGAAAAAGTCCAGGTTTCAACTGAAAACTATAAGTCATTCCAAGAACTGGAAGATCTCAAATTGAATTAAAAAACATAATGTCTAGGTGCAGTGGCTCATGCCTGTAATCCCAACACATTGGGAGGCCAAGGTGGGCAGATCGCTTTGAGCCCAAGGAGTTTAAGACCAACCTGGGCAACATGATGAAACCTCATCTCTACTAAAAATACAAAAACTAGCTGAGTGTGGTGGTGCATACCTGTAATCTCATCTACTCAGGAAGCTCAGGCACAAGAATTGCTTGAGCCCAGGATATGGAGGTTGCAGTGAACTGAGATCGTGCCACTGCACTCCAGCCTGGGTGACAGAGCAAGACCCTGTCTTCAGAGTAATAATAATAATAATAATAATAATAATAATAAATTAAAACATAATCACTCACTACCAAGGTGGCAGATATGTTAGAATTATGAGACAATGTTTTTTTTTTTTTTTTTTTTTTTTTTTGAGACAGATTTTTTTTTTTTTGCCAGGCTGGAGTATAGCAGCAGTGCAATCTCAGCTCACTGCAACCTCCGACTCCCAGGTTCAAGCAATTGTCTTGCCTCAGCCTTCTGAGTAGCTGGGATTATAGGCATGCACTGCCACACCCAGCTAATTTTTGTAGTTTTAGTTGAAACAGGGTTTCACCATATTGGTCAGGATGGTCTCTATCTCCTGACCTCATGATCCACCTACCTTGGTCTTCCAAAGTGCTGGGATGACAGGCGTGAGCCACTGTGCCTGGTGAGACAATGATTTTAAAGAAGCCATGATAAAAATGTTTAAATGAGCAATTATAAACATGCTGGAAACAAAGGAGAAAATAGATTCAGCAAAGAAACAAAGTCTCAGGAAATAAATAGAAAATACAAAGAAGAACCAAATAGAAAGTTTAGAACTGAAAAATACAATAACTGATAGAAAAAGCTCAGTAAATGGGCATAACAGCATAATGGAGAATAGAGTAGAAAGAATCAGTGAACTGGAAGACAGGAAGGTAGAAATTACCCAGTCTTAACAATAGAGAAGAAATAGACTAAAAAAAAAAAAATGAAAAGAACTTTAGAGACCTGTGGGACTATAACAGAATAACATCGGAGTCTTAGAAGGAAAGGAGAAAGAGGATGGGTCTGAAAAAGTATTCAAATAAGTAATGTATTAAAACTTCCCAAATTCGGCAAGAAACATAAGCCTACAGATTAAAGAAGCTGAGCAAACCTCCAACAGGAGGATAAACCCAAAGAAATCTGCACTAAGAAACACAATTAAACTCATGAAAACGAATGGCACAGAAAACTTGAAAGTAGCCATGGGAAAACAGAATAACATCAGATTCTCATTAGAAACCATGAAAGTCAGAAAGAAGTGGCACAATATTTTCAGTGATAAAAGAACTGTCATCCAGGTGCAGTGGCTCATGCCTGTAATCCCAGCACTTTGGGAGGCCAAGGCGGGCAGAACACGAGGTCAGGAGATTTAGACCATCCTGCCTAACATGGTGAAACCCCATCTCTACTAAAAATACAAAAAATTAGCTGGGTATGGTGGCACACGCCTGTAGTCCCAGCTACTTGGGAGGCAGAGGCGGGAGAACTCAGGAGGCGGAGGTTGCAGTGAGCCAAGATTGCACTACTACACTCCAGCCTGGGTGACAGAGTGAGACTCCATCTCAAATAAAAAAAAAAAAAAAAAGAAAGAACCGTCAACCCAGAATTCTATACCCAGAGAAAATATCCTTCATATACAAAAGGGTAGTCAACACATCCTAAGGTGAAAGAAAACAGAGAATTTGTCACCAACAGACCTACCCAAAGAGGATAGTTGAAGGAAGTTCCCTAAACAGAAAGGAAGTGATAACCTTGGAACAGCAGAAAAGAAGAAAGCATGGTAAGGAAAAATTTGGATAAATAAAGTAAGCTTTCCTTCTTGGGTTTTCCAAATTGTGTTTGACAGTTGGAACAAAACATGACTGTGTGATGTGATTCTAAATGTACATAGAGAAAATACTTAAGGCAGTTATACTGGGAGGATAAAGGGACATAAAGGGAAGTAAGGTATCTATACATCAGTCAAACTGGTGAAATGGTGAGAACAGTAGACTTTAGTAATGTACATATGTAATACCTAGAGCAACAACTACAAATTCTGTACAGAGATACAGTCAAAAATATTAGAGATAAAATACAGTTCTAAAAAATATTCAAGTAATGCACAGGAAGGCAGGAAAAAGCAGAGAAATGAAAAACAGCACAAATACAGAAACAAAAGAACCCCAGCAAACTTAAGTCCTGCTATATTAATAATTAAATATACCATTAAATTGTGCCACTGCACTCCAGCCTGGGTGACAGAGTGAGCCCCCACCTCAAAACAAAACAAAACCCACCAACTAAGAGAGAGAGTGGATTTAAAAACTTGCCGTCTACAATAAACTCAAAATATAACCATATATTCAGGTTAAAAGTAAATACGTAAGTCAGTATTTACGTTTATTAGTAAAGGAAATCAAAAGTAACTATATGAGTGTCAAAGTATATTTCACAGCAAAGAAAATAATCAGACACAGACAAGTTTATTATATAATGATAAAAGGGTCAATCCACAAAGAAGATATTGTACTTCTAAGTGGGTATGCACCAAACAGCTGCACAATGTGAAGCAAAACCTGATGCAACTGACAGAAAAATAGATCAATGAAATAGATAAATCTACAATTATAGTTGGAGACTTAAACACCCTTTCTCAACAATTTATGTAATAACTGAAGACAAAATCGGCAAGGATAGAAAAAAACCTCAGTGATGACATTAACCAACATAATCTAATCAATATTTATAGAACATGCAACAATAGTAGAATAATAATATTTTTATATCAAAATCACATCCTGGGCCATAAGCTAAACCTCAACAAGTTTAAATGAATTTAAATAATATAGAATGTGTTCTCTGACAGTAGTAGTATCTAAGTAGAAGTCAATAAGATAGTAGGAAATTCTCCAAATACTTGGTAACTAAAAGACACACTTGAAAATAATTCATGGGTCAAAAAGGAAGTCTCAAGGGAAATAAAAAAATAATCTCAGATTAAGTGCGCACTTTGAGGCAGCAATGAGCTATGGTCCCATCCTACCGAATGCCAGCCTGGGTGACAGAGAAAGACCCTGTCTCTAAACAACAACAAAAGAAACTAAAAGGCACACTTCTAAATAATCCATGAGTCAAAGAGGAAGTCTCAAGGGAAATAAAAAATACAATAAATTGAATTGAAATGAAAATATGACATATCAAGTCCTGTTGGACATGGTTAAAGCAGTGCCGAGAAAACTTATAGCACTAACTGAATACATTAGGAAAAGAAAAAGCCTCCAATCAAGTGCCCATTTCAAGAATCTAGAAAAAAAAGAGCGAAAGAAACCCAAAGCAAGAAAAAGCAAGAAAATAAAGACAAAAACAGAAATCAATGAAATGTAAAACAGAAAAACAATTGAAAAAGGTAGATGAAACAAATAGCTGATTATTTGAAAACATCAATGAAATTTGCAAACTTCCAGAAAGACTAACCAAAAAAAAGGCGAAAAAGAAAAGAAGTTACCAATATTAGGAGTAAAATGGAATAACAACTTGAACCCTGTAGACATTAAATGGGTAATAAGGCAATATGAACAACCCTATGCACATAAACTTGACAACTAAAAGGATCAGTTCTTTAAAAAACACAAACCAGCCGGGCGCAGGGGCTCACACTTGTAATCCCAGCACTTTGGGAGGCTGAGGCAGGTGGATCACCTGAGGTCAGGAGTTCAAGACCAGCCTGACCAACATGGTGAAACCCCATTTCTACTAAAAATATAAAAATTAGCTAGGTGTGGTGGTGTGCACCTATAATCCGAGCTACTCAGGAGCCTGAGGCAGGGGAATTGCTTGAATCAGGGAGGTGGAGGTCTCAGTGAGCCGAGATCATGCCACTACACTCCAGCCTGGGCAACAGAGTGAGACTCTGTCTCAAAAAAAAAAAAAAAAAAAGAAAGAAAAAGAAAGACAGGAAAAATTTGAAGAGATGGAAGTGGAACCTATAGAATAAAAGAGACTTAAGAGATATCAACTAATTATAATGTGTGGCCTTATTTGGCCCCTGATTCAAACAAATGGTAAAGAAAATGCCACTGAGGGACATGAAGGTTGAACAATAGAAAGATATGCCATGTTCTTAGACAGGAATGCTCAATATTATAAAGATGTAATTTTTCCTAAGTTTATTTATAAATTTAATGTGATCTCTGTAAATCAGCCAACATTTAAAAAACATTATCGAATTTCTATAGAAAATAGTTTTTTAAGTAAAAATAATCAGGAGATTCTGAAAAGAAGGATTATTAGTCCTACATGATAGAAAAACATGAAACCATAGTAAAACAGTGTAGTACTGGGACATGCGTAGACATACAGATCATTGAAACAGACTAGAAGGTCCAGATATAGTCATCAGTACTTCTAGTAAGTTAGCATATGGTTAAGATGACATGTCAAATCAATGGGGGTAAGGAGGAACATGGATTATGTAACCAAATGTATTTGGGGACACTTCGGTAGCTATCTGGGAAAAAAAATGTAACCAGTCTTAAAATTACATCAAAGTTGGGCATGGTGGCTCATGCCTATAATCCCAGCACTTTGGGAAGCTGAGGCAGGCAGATCACTTTAGCCCAGAAATTCAAGAACAGCCTGGGCAATATGGCAAAACTGTCTCTACAAAAAAATACAGAATAGCTGTGTGCAGTAGTGAGCCCTTGTAGCCCTAGCTACTCCAGAGGCTGAGGTGAGAGGATCACTTGAGCCCTTGAGGCAGGGGTTGCAGTGAGCTGAGATTGCACCACTGCATTCCAGCCCAAGTGACAGAATGAGACCTGGTCTCAAAAAATAAACACCAAAATAAATACCAGCTGGATAAAATATGTGTAAAAAATTAAACCATGTGAGTACCATAAGAAATCCTGGAATTAAAATAATCAGAGTGATGAAGCCTTTAGAAGTATTTCACAACTGTAGAAACCACAGAAGGAAAATATATATATTTTACATAAGCAACCATAAGATAAGCCACAAACTGGAATACAGTTTGCCATTAATTTCTCTACAGAAGGCAAATTTACCTTTAAAGAGCTCTTACATATTAATAAGAGGAAGAATCTAATGGAAAAGTATACAAAATATATGAAAGGAATATGAAAATTTCATGGAAAAGGAACTATAACTGGTCCTTAAATATATGGAAAAAATTTCAACCTGACTCTAATACAAAAAATAAACTTATGCTTAGATGCTATTTTCATCTGTCAGATTATAAAGATCACAGAGGTTGATAACATACCACACAGGTAAATGTGTTATCAAACTCTGTTATCTGTGCTGAAAACGCTAAAGCTGAATGAAAGTAGGAAACACAGGAATTGAGAAACAAATTAAATACTATGAGGAATAAAATGAGATAAATCTAGAAGATGTGACATTCTATGTAACTATTAGCCTGTTGTCTTCAACAAAAGAGAGAAATATTTGAGAGAAAATGTATGTGTAAAGGGGGGACTGTTATAAATGAAAAGAAACATGACAACCAAATGCAACATGTGGTCTTTGAGTAGATTCTGGTTTGAACAGACCAGCTATAAAATAATTTTGGGGATAACTTGGAAATGTTAAGTATAAAATGGACACTAGATGAATTAAGGAATTATTTAATGCTATTATCACACACTTGCTAGATGTGGAAACTATGGTTTTCTAGGAAAATGTCTTATTGGGGATTTATAAACTTTGGTATTTAGGAGTAAAATATCATGATGTCTGTAATTTATTTTAAAAGTACTTCAGCAAGCAAAGCAAATATGATAAGGTATTTGAGCAAACAAAGCTACATATGATGAAGGAAAAAAATTGTTAAATTTAGATTATGGTTATATGGATAGTTGTTGTACTATTCTGCTTTGTGTACTGAAATTTTTATAGTAAATGTTAAGCATACAGAGTAATGCTGTAGTGAAAAACATTGTACATACTCTGCATGCTACAGGATTACTCCAAAATCTGTTAAGCCTTATGGGAGGCAATATGGGGAGATCCAGAGCAGTGTTTTTCTTTTTTCTTTTCTTTTTTTTGACCCAAGTTCAAGGGATAAATCCAAGATAGAGCAGTGTTTTTTAAACTTCAGATTGTGACTTTTTTAGTCATTCCTAAAATCAATTGATGGGCATTATGACCAGTAATTTCTTCTATATGAAATAGAATAGAAAATGCCTAAGGATTTTGACCTGGTAAAGATTAATAGTATATGAAGCTTTGTTATATAATCATATGTATCAGTTCCTTTTATACACATGCATGTACGTGATTATAATCTAAAACTCATTTCTATTATAGCTTGCAGGCAAAAAGTTCAAAAGTTACTGAAGTGGTCCAGTGTTTTCCACCAAGAGTCACTGATGTTGGCGCCTTCTCTACTTTCAAGTTTATTTTTTTAAACTTATATATTTTTGACAGTGCTTTGTTTGTTGCACCCTGGTTATTGGATGGATGAATTTTAAATGTCTAATTTTCTTTGTTTTGATTTTTCTAGTAACTGTGACTGAAGTTTTACCAAAGGAAAAGAAACAGAAAGAAGAAAAGACCTTAATTCTTGGTCAAGCTGTGGTGGATCTTCTTCCCTTACTGGAAGGTCAGATGTATGCTTTGCCCAAAAGCGGAAATGGCAAAGCTCATAAAATTTAGCCCCAGACAGATACAGAAATTAGCCTTAATGAATTTGAGGGATTTGAGGGGAAAAGTGGGCACATTTATTCTGCTTGCAATCGCACTAACTTAACCCTTTCTTCTTTGGCTCAACGTGGGCTTCTTTTTGCAGGACAGAGTTCATTCCAAACAGCAGTTCCATTGCACCCGGTGCAGGGCTCACCCTTAGAGACTCCTAGTTCAAGTGTTAAGGTAATCAGAGTTTTAGCTCTCTATATTTTAGCCTGCCATTCAATCTAACAAGTCTGTCCGCTATTAAGGTTCAATTCAGTTGAGTGTAATGCATTGGGCATTTTCTTTTCACAGCACATACAATGTTAGATTCTGGGAAACAAAGATAATAAGACAGAGTCCTACTTTGAAAGCCCACAATCTGCATATCATAGATTATAACCCAGTGTGATTAAATGGTGGAGTGAAGCACATGGGCACAGAGCAGGTATCAGTTACATTGTCCACGGGTAGAGGCAAGGAAGGCTTAACCATGGAAATAACTCTTGAGCTATGTTCTGATGGATCACATAGTATATGAAAGCATCTCATATACTTTAGGGCATGGTAGCATGCTTCTCATTGAAAATTTCTAATCCAGCAGTTCCAGCCCAGACCCCTTTCTGGAATTCTAAAATGTCAGACTTTACAAGCACCTACTATATACCTCTATAATGTTATCCCATAGGCACCTAAAACTCAACATTCCAGAAGTGAACTCAGTATTTTCCCTGAAACCTATTCTTCCTTTAATCTTAGTTTTTTGACTAGTGGCATCACCCATCCATGAAATCATGGAACATAGAACCTAAATTACATCTATGACTGTTCCCTCAGACCCTAACTACATCCAGTCCTCAAATTTGCCTTTCATCACATCCTGCCTTTTCCATCTTCTAAGTGTCTTTAGGTTTCCTTTTTGGATTCATTCCTACTTTTTATTGCCTTATTATCTCTCACTTGGATGGTTACAAGTAGTCTTGTGCCTACCTTTGCCTCCCTCTAGTTCAATCTTCCCATGGGTTGCACAGTGATTAAAAAGTGAATCTGATCTCATCTCTTCCCCTACTTAGTACTGTGTAGTTCATGGATTCACCCACTGCTTACAAGTTAAGGTCCAGGTCCAGATTGCTTAGCAGGCATACAGCATTTTTTTTTTTTTTTTTTTTTTTAGACGGAGTATTGCTCTGTTGCCAGGCTGGAGTGCAGTGGCACGATCCCAGCTCATTGTAACCTCCGCCTCCTGGGTTCAAGCAATTCTCCTGCCTTAGCTTCCTGAGTAGCTGGAACTACAGGCGTGCAGTGCCACGCCCAGCTAATTTTTATATTTTTCATTAGAGACTGGGTTTCACCATGTTGGCCAGGATGATCTTGATCTCTTGACCTCATGATCCACCTGCCTTGGCCTCCCAAAGTGCTGGGATTTCAGACGTGAGCCACCGCGCCTGGTCAGCATATTTTATGATGGGAGCCTCCCTCTTTAACCTCATCTTCCATTATTCCTCTCCTTATATTAATATTTCAAGTTCCAGAATCCTGAATTACTTACATATACCTAAACAGAAGATACCATACTGTTCCAATCCCCCTTTTCATAGACTATTTTTCCCTCTAAGACTAGTCAAGTGCCATAGTGAGAAGCGGGGAAGGAAGAGAACAAAAAATTTGATCTGTAACTGACTGTGAACAGTCAACTGAGATAACTCACTACCTTTGGACCAGCCTACATAAACTGTTCTTATCTAGAATTATTTCTCTTTCCTTCCTCTGCTAATCCAGCTTTTAAATGATAGTCATCCTGTGACTGTCAGCCCAGCCAAATAGTTATTCACTTCCTCCTTGGTGTCCTTGACTGCACCATTTTGTACAGGTCTCTAGTATAGATTTCACATAAATCATGGCACTATGCCATGAGTTCCATGTTGAAAGGAACTATATATTCTTTGTCTTTATATCCCTAGTGATGTAGCAAAGTGCCTAGCATTCAATACATAATTTTTTTTTTTTTTTTTTTTTTACGGAGTTTTGCTCTTGTTGTCCAGGCTGGAGTGCAATGGCGTGATCTCAGCTCACTGCAACCTCCACTTCCTGGGTTCAAGCAATTCTCCTGTCTCAGCCTACCGAATATCTGGGATTGCAGGAAGTCACTACCATGCCTGGCTAATTTTTATATATTTTTTCTTTTTTTGAGACAGAGTCTTGCCCTGTAGCCCAGGCTAGAGTGCAGTGGTGTGATCTTGTCCCACTGCATCCTCCATTTCCCAGGTCCCGGTTCAAGCCATTCTCTTGCCTCAGCCTCCCAAATAGCTGGAATTACAGGCATGCGACACCATGCCCAGATAATTTTTGTATTTTTAGTAGAAACGGGGTTTCACCATATTGGCCAGCCTGGTCTTGAACTCATGTGACCTCAGATGATCCGCCCGCCTCAGCCTCCCAAAGTTCTGAGATTACAGGCATGAGCCACCTTGCCCAGCCTCAAAACACATTTAAAACCTACTTTGTACGTGTCCTGAGTGAAAATGTCAGAGATATACACATATATGTCTATACCTATTTATGTGGAATATATACATAACTATTTGAAAACAAATATTTTCTTATTACAAAGCATTACATTTAAATTACAAAAATAATCATAAGATATAGACTAGCCAAAAAAGTATCCAATCTCACTTACTCATGTACAACTACTATTGACATTTCATTTTTTTTTCTTTTTTTGAGATGGAGTTTCGCTCTTATTGCCCAGGCTGGAGTGCAATGGCACAATCTCAGCTCACTGCCTCCCCAGGTTCAAGTGATTCTCCTGCCTCAGCCTCAGCCTCCCCAGTAGCTGGGACTACAGGGGATGCACCACCACGGCTGGCTAATTTTGGTATTTTTAGTAGAGATGGGTATTTACCATGTTGGCCAGGCTAATCTTGAACTCCTGATCTCGGGTGATACACCTGCCTCGGCTCCCAAAGTCCTGGGATTATAGGAGTGAGCCACCACACCCAGCCAGCATTTCAATTGAATCTTCCAATTCCTGTTTATATGTATTTATATATATACTTTACCTCGGAATGGTAGAGTGGGAAGGGATCTAGTTTAGGGATAAGATTCTCTTCTTGGCCCTGTCTTCTCTAAATCATGGGACTTACAGAATATTATTTCAGTTTATGGAAATAATTAAGCTTTACCTTCTTATCTTGAAGAGTGATACGAGATTCAAATGAGTTAATGAAAAAAGGAAGACCTCTGGCAATTTTCAAAATGCTGCATAATTTTATTCTTTTACAGCAGTGCAGTCTTGAAGTTAAAGTATTAGTGGCAGAACCTTTACTGACTACAGCCCAGATCTCAGGGGGCAATCTACTGAAGGTCACATTGGAGGCTGCTTACTCTGTGCCTGAATCCTTCATTCCAACAGGTCCTGGGCAGAACTACATGGCCGGTCTGCAAGTGCCATCAGTTGGAGAGGTAAAGCCCTACTGCCAGATATTTATGGAGATTCAAACATGTCTGCATTCACATAGCCATCTCTTCCTCACCTCTAAGATTTCATTCAAAGCACTACTTTGCTAATGGCCGAGATTTATTTTAGGCTTGAAAAATAAAGTTTATTTCTGTTTTGTATACAGATTTTAATGTTTATGATTTACATATTTATTATATATTGTACATTAAATATAATTTACATAAATGGTGGAAAATATGTCAGACATTTAAAATGGCCAATTTTGGTGTATTTCCTTACAGATTATTTTTATGTGTACATTTTATAGATTTTGTACAATTACTTTATTAAACAAAACTTTCTCTTAATTCTATGTTACTTTCTTAGGCCAAATTTCTAGATATAGGAATGATTGGCTATGGAGTTTCTTAGGCTCTTGATGGAGATTTCTAAATTACTGCTAAAAGACTTATATTCAGTTAACACTTCCACTTGTCTTATATCCAGGGCCATGTATGTGAATGACCCACTAAAGTTGTGTAGCAACTGTTCAGTTTGCTGAGGACTTATGAGGTTCTTGGGACATGAGACTTTCAGCATGACAACTGGGACAGTGCTAGGCAAATGAGGTGGCTGATCACCCTTCCAGGGAGCAGCCTACATAGCTATATGAGGCAGATCTGTGCTTTGCCTTATCTCCAACTTTGGGATTCTATTGAAAAATTTCTATTTGTTTTTGCTAATTTTAATAATTAAAAGTACCTTTTATTTGTTTTGTTTTGTTTTTCTTTTGGAGGTCTTAGTATTTTTCTTATTGATTTATTAAATTCTGGCCAGGATGGGGTGGCTCATGCCTATAATCCCAGCACTTTGGGAGGCTGAGGCTGGTAGATCACCTGCGGTTAGGAGTTCGAGACCAGCCTGGCCAACATGGTGAAACCCTGTCTCTACTAAAAATACAAAATAATTAGCCAGGTGTGGTGGCAGGCACCTATAATCCCAGCTACTGGGGAGGCCGAGGCAGGAGAATCACTTGAACCTGGGAGGTGGAGGTTGCAGTGAGCTTAGATCGCGCTGTTGCACTACAGCCTGAGCAGCAAGAGCGAAACTCTGTCTAAAAAAAAAAAAAAAAAAAAAAAAAAATTCTTCATATATAGAGAAAAATAATGTTTTTTTTTTTTTTCAAGTTTGTCAATTTATACTTTATCATGTTTATTTCTGGTGTATTATTTATTTTTAATTTGGGTCATTGCTTTGGTATACAAAAGTTTTTTAATATTACATCTTTTTCTTTTAGGTTTCTTGCATCATTTTAAACTTGAAAAGGGCTCCTTTATTCTGATGTTTGATGAAAGGATGCCCTTCCAGGTCCTAGTTTTGTTTTTGTTTTTGTTTTTGGAGATGGAGATGGAGTCTCGCTCTGTCACTCAGAGTGGAGTATAGTGGCATTATCTTGGCTCACTGCAACCTCTGCCTCCCGGGTTCAAGCAATTCTCCTGCCTCAGCCTCCCAAGTAGCTGGAACAACAGGCGCCTGCCACCCTGCCTGGCTAATTTTTTGAATTTTAGTAGAGACAGGGTTTCACCGTGTTGCCACGGCTGGTCTTGAACTCCTGACCTCAGGTGATCTGCCTGCCTCAGCCTCCAAAAGTGCTAGGATTGTAGGAGTGAGCCATTGCACCTGGCCCCAGGTCCTAGTTTTTACAGTAGTCTTAGTTCCAGCTTCCTGTCCCACTGGGCACAGGGCCATGCTTCCTTCTCTATAAGAGTGTCTGGATCTGACATTTCCTTGGTTGGTACAGCATCAGCCCATGAGCTTATCCCGTAGGTATTGAGTTGCTGCTGCTGCCAGTTCTGGCGCTTTTAAACTTTCTTTTTTTGAGACAGAGTCTCACCCTGTTGCCCAGGCTGGAGTGCAGTGGTGCAGTCTCGGCTCACTGCAACTTCCACCTCCCAGGTTCAAGCGATTCTCTTGCCTCACCCTCCTGAGTAGCTGGGACTACAGGCGCCTGCCACCACACCTGGCTAATTTTTGTATTTTTAGTACAGACGGTCTTTCATCATATTGGCCAGGCTAGTCTCGAACTCCTGACCTTGTGATCCATCTGCCTCGGCTTCCCAAAGTGCTAGGATTACAGGCGTGAGCCACCGCGCCCAGCCTAGACTTTCATTTACTTCTTTTGGCCTTGGCTACGTGATAAAAGAAAGCTTTTTTGTTGTTGTTGTTGCTGTTCTACTTTATCCATTATGTTGATGTGTTTGTTGCTGACAAAGGGTCTGTTGTACTTTGGTTTGCTATAGTGTTGGAAATAGAATGTTTTATATATATATATTATATATATATATAATATATATATATATTTATATATTTATATATGTATATATATATAATATATATATATATTTATATATTTATATATGTATATATATATATATGTATATATAATTGTGTTTTAGGTTTTGGGGTACATGTGCAAGATTGTTGCATAGGTACATACATGGCAGTGTGGTTTGCTGCCTTCCTTCCCATCACCTATATCTGGCATTTCTCCCCATGTTATCTCTCCCCAACTCCCCAGCCCCTAATGTTCCTCTCCTAGTTCCCCCCACAGATCCCAGTGTATGATGCTCCCCTCCCTGTGTCGATGTGTTCTCATTGTTCAACACCTGCCTATGAGTGAGAACATGCAGAGTTTGATTTTCTGTTCTTGTGTCGGTTTGCTGAGAATGATGGTTTCCAGGTTCATCCATGTCCCTGCAAAGGACACGAACTCATAATTTTTTATGGCTGTATAGTATTCCATGGTGTATATGTGCCACATTTTCCCTGTCCAGTCTATCATTGATGGACAGTTGGAAACTTCTTTTAAGGACCATTTATATTTCTTTTCCAGTAAACTTTTTGTTCCTGTTCTTTGTCTATCTATATATGTCTGTATCTATCTATTATTAAGAGACAGGGTCTCACTCTATTACCTAGGCTGGAGTGCAGTGCGCAATCATAGAATACAGTAACCTTGAAATTCTGGACTCAAGCAATCCTCTCACCTCACCCTCCCAAGTAGCTAGGACTACAGGTGCATGCCATCTCACCTGGCTAATTTTTAATTTTTTTTTGTCAGAATGGGGTCTTGCTGTGTTGCCCAGGCTCGTTTTGAACTCCTGGCTTCAAGTGATCCTCCTGGCTCTATCTCCCAAAGTGTTGGGATTATAGGCATTAAGCCACCTTGCCTGGCTGATATCTCATTGTTTTAATGTGTATTTTACTGATTATTAATGAAATGTGGCATGTTTTTATTTAAATGTTGCATTTTTGGCCGGGCACGGTGGCTCAAGCCTGTAATCCCAGCACTTTGGGAGGCCGAGGCGGGTGGATCACGAGGTGAAGAGATCGAGACCATCCTGGTCAACATGGTGAAACCCTGTCTCTACTAAAAATACAAAAAATTAGCTGGGCATGGTGGTGCGTGCCTGTAATCCCAGCTACGCAGGAGGTTGAGGCAGGAGAATTGCCTGAACCCGGGAGGCGGAGGTTGCAGTGAGCCGAGATCGCGCCATTGCACTCCAGCCTGGGTAACAAGAGTGAAACTCCGTCTCAAAAACAAAAAACAAACAAACAAACAAAAGTTGTGTTTTCTAATTTCCCCTTCTATAAATTGCCTACTTATCTATTTTACCAATTTTTACTGCAAGTATACTTTGGATAAGTTATAAGACATGAAAATGCCTATATTTTTAGCCCCTTGCCAGATTTTGGTTTGTTTTCTGAAGGATAATTTTTAAACAGGTATAAACACAACTCTCATATAAGCAAAAATAACACAGGATTTGGTCCAAGATTTTGTTTAACTAATTAGTGAGGGAATCAGTAAAATGTGACAGTGAGTTCAAAGGAGTATATAGGCATATGGAATGCTGAAATTAATTTGCCAGTTTTAAAACTTGTCATTAGCTCCAGGGCAGAAATTAGTTACATTGCCACTGGACAAACTGTATCTGCATATTTGTGAACAAGAATAATTTGCATTATTATCAAATGTCTATAAGTTACAGAATTATAAAATAGCACAAAGGCAAAGAAGGGCACAGGCCCCTCCCTCTCTAGAATCAGATTAATTATAGAAGGGTATGTTTGACAACACTTGGCATACCATTGAAAATACTCTTGAGTAATCTTTTTGTCCATTTCAAAGCCCTTTATAATCTTTCCTGATGTATGGTATTTATTTCTGTAGAAAGACTATCCCATTTTATTTAAGAATGGAACTCTGAAGCTTGGAGGGGAAAGAGAACCTGTTCCCCGGCCCAAAAAGTGGCCAATTGCCAACATTCTGGCTCCAGGAGCTAATAACATTCCTGATGCATTCATCGTTGGTGGTCCCTATGAAGAAGAAGATGGAGAACTCAACCATCCTGAGGTGAGAGACAGCCTGATGTACAGGTTTTTGTGATAAATTTAGTATACTGACAGATGATAAAACATTTTGTGAAACACTATAATTTATATATATCTGCCACCTGTCAAAATAAAACAATTACATCCCAATATGAAACACTTATCTAATTCTGATGCAAATATCTCTGACTTCTTAAGTCCAGCAAACAAAATAATTTATATCAAATGTACTCTTTATTTTTTTCCCTCATCCTGTTACTAAAACTCTTTATTTTAAATTTATTTATTTATGAATAGGTAATTATCAGTCACTGTCAAAATTAAAAACCAAGATATATGTAGTGAAAGCGTCCCTCTATTTATGTCTCTTCCTTCTAATTCCCTTCCATCTCATTATCCTAGTAATGATAGCAGCAGTAGCCAGTCTGGAGCAGCCCCTGCCATGATGCTGGCTGCAATGGGGGAGGCCCAGCTGGGTCTACACGCTCCATGGAGCCAGCAGGAGCCAGGAAGAAGTGGGAGCCCCACCCTCCCATGTGCAGCTGCAGCTGCCCAGCCACGTACCAGCTGCATACCCAGGCATCTCTGCACTCTTGGAGGCTGGGAAGCCCTCCTGCCCCCATAGGTTTGGAAGTGCCTGCTCCCACTCCCTGGTCTCTGCCCACTCCCAGTGCCTGCTCCAATTTCAGAGTAAAGCTGTGGCCGAGCATGGGTGCTGTCACAGCCTGGCCAGGTGTGCATGCACTCAGGCCAGCACTGACACACGAACCCCCTGCTGCCTCGGTCTCCCTCCAGACTTTGGGCACCCATGAGCATGGGAGAAAGTCCGAGGGGATGCTGAGGGCAACTTGGCATGGGCCTGCAGGCGCCCCTTGGCATGAACAACCAGGGTTCCGTGGATGGCAGGAGGCAGACAGGCTCCTGGGCAAAAAGGGTCAGGTTCCTGGTGAAACCCCACCTTCAGGCCAGGGACTGCCTGAGGTCTGGGGACCAGGCTGCTAGTTCTGTGGACCGGAATGAGAACTTATGGTGCTTTTTCTGGGCTTACCCATGGCCTCCCATGGATCAATCAGTATCCACTTCCTCCCCTCTGAAGTCCATAAAAATGCAGGACTCAGCCAGACTCAGGCAAAGAATGGGATGACCTGCCTGTGGAGAGGAGCTACGCACTGTGGGTCTCCTCTCTTCTGAGAGCTGGACACTCATCAGGACAACCTGTCTGCAGAGAGGAGCTACCACTACTCAGTGAGTCTCATCTGAGCTGTTCTGTTGCTCAGTAAAGCACCTCTTTGCCTTGGTCACCCTCCACTTGTCGTGTAACTCATTCTTCCTGGACACTGGACAAGAACTCAGGACCTGCTGAATGTTGGGGCTGAAAGAGCTGTAACACAAACAGTGTTGAAACCCTTGCTCACCACATTGTAGGTGACAAGAAGGAGAAAACAGAGAAGAGCTGCAGTCCTTCAGGAAGCCCAGACCTAGGAGCTCCCTGAGCCAGGGCTGACACTTGGGGCTCTTCGGTTTCTAGCACCGCTGCATTCCCCATTGCCAGCCATGGAAGCTGTCTACAGTACGCTTGGTTCAGCCGCAGCCTCGCAGGGAGCTAGCACCTGTGCTGTGCCTGGAGCTGCCGGCCCTGCTGCAGCCAGCATGCCTGGCTGTGCACAGTGGCCAGACCCCATGATCGTGTGGGATCCAGTCCAGTAGCACAAACCTAGCACAGCCTGCCAGCCTGAGTGGGTGAAATGAGCCCAGCAGGCCCAAGCAAAAGTTGGGCAAAGGTGCCACCAACCACAGAGGTTTTCTGCTGGAAAAGCAGTCCAAGGATTCTGTGACAGTAGTTACCTTTATTACAGTTTCTTGTGTTTCCTTCTAGATACTTTCTTATGCATATAAAAGCAAATGCATAAGTCAAAAGAAGACTCAGAGACAGAAACATTTAGAAAAGTAAAGAAAAGGTTTCCTTGCAAATTAAAGAAAAGGTTTCCTTGCAAATTGTGAAAGAGAGTCAGACTTCAGAAGGATTGGCTCACCAAATAAAAAATAAGTATAGTCATCTTGGCTGGGCACAGTGGCTGATGCCTGTAAGGCTGGCACTTCAGGAGGCTGAGGCAGGTCTCCTCCTCACTGAAATCAGGAGCTCAAGACTAGCCTGGCCAACATGATGAAACCCTGTCTGTACTAAAAATACAAAACTTAGCTGGGCATGGTGGCACATGCCTGTATTTCCAGCTGCTTGGGAGACTGAGGCACAAGAATCACTTGAACTGGGAGGCAGAAGTTGAAGTGAGCCAGGATTGTGCCACTGCACTCCAGCCTGAGTGACAGAGTGAGATTCTGTCTCAAAAAAAAAAAAAAGATAGTGATCCCTTGGTATACAGGGGGGATTGTTACCAGGACCCCTGCATATATCAAAATTTGTGCATACTCAAGTCCTGCAGTCAACCCTGTAGAAATCATGTATAGGAAAAGTTGGCCCTCCATAAATGTGGTTTTACATCCAACAAATACTGTATTTTTTATCCATATTTGGTTTAAAAATGGGCCAGGCACAGTGGCTCATGTCTGTAATCCCACCACTTTGGGAGGCCAAGTTGGGCAGATCACTGGAGGCAGGAGTCTGAGACCAGCCTGGCCAATATGGTGAAACCCCATCTCTACTAAAAACACAAAAATTAGCCAGTGTAGTGACGTGTGTCTGAATCCCAGCTCCTCGGGAGACTGAGGCCCGAGAATTGCTCGAACCCAGGAGGTAGAAACTGCAGTGAGCTGAGATCATACCACTGCATTCCAGCCTGGGCAACAGAGCAAGACTTTGTATCAAAAAAAAAAAAAAAAGATTCACATATGTATAAGTGGACCCATGCAATTCAAATTTGAATAGTGGCATGCTTCTGAATCCTACCTTCTTGGAAGGCTGAGGCACGAGAATTGCTTGAACTTAGGAGGCAGAGGCTGCAGTGAGCCGAGATCGCACCACTGCACTCCAGCCTGGGCAACAGAGCAAGATTCTGTCTCCAAAAAAAAAAAAAGATTCACATAAGTGGAAACATGCAATTCAAATTGTGTTGTTCAAGGGTCAAGTGTATTTATAAGAAACAACACAAAATTACCAACGTTACCCCATTTACATTAATCTATTCATGGCAAAACTGCAGGTTTCTTCACTTGATTCTCAGATATACAAAGATTATAAAATATCTTCAGACATCAGCATAATAAACATTAGGGATAAAAGTACTTTTCTTTTCTTTCTTTTTTTTTTTTTTTTTTTTTTATGTTTTGTTTTTTTTTTTTTTTTTTTTTTTTTTTTTTTTGAGATGGAGTTTTGCTCCTGTTGCCCAGGCTGGAGTGCAATGGTGCAATCTCGGCTCACTGCCGCCTCTGCCTCCTGGGTTCAAGTGATTCCCCCACCTCCGAGTAGCTGGGATTACAGGTGCCCGCCACCACACCTGGCTAATTTTTGTATTTTTAGTACAGAATGGGTTTCATCATGTTGGCCAGGCTGGTCTTGAACTCCCGACCTCAGGTGATCCACCTGCCTCAGCCCCCCAAAGTGCTGGGATTACCGGTGTGAGCCACTGTGCCTGGCCAATAATGGTACTTTTCTTTAGGATGTCCAGATTTTCAGGAAATATTCAAAGTCTTGTTATTTTTGGAACTAGAATCTGTTGGGAAAAAACTGCTATTTTTGCTTTATTTCAAGGTATTAATGTTTTGTTTGTTTGAGACAGAGTCTCACTCTGTCACCCAGGCTGGAGTGCAATGACGCAATCTCTACTCACTGCAACCTCCGCCTCTTGGGTTCAAGCTATTCTCATGCCTCAGCCACGTGAGTAGCTGGGATTACTGGCACATGTCACCATGCCCTGCAAATTTTTGTATTTTTAGTAGAGACAGGATTTCACCATATTGACCAGGCTGGTCTCTAACTCCTGATCTTAAGTGATCCACCCACCTCAGCCTCCCAAAGTGCTGGGATTACAGGCACAAGCAACCGCGGCCAGCCTGTTTTTTTGTTTTTAACTGGATGTATAAAGCGTTTAATCAGACAGTCATATATGCACTAACTAATGCATACATGCATTCTTTCCGCATTGTTTTTGTTACACAAATGTAAAGAATGCATACTTACATTACTTTGTGGTGTATTTTGGAGATTTTTCCACATTACATAAAGAGCAGTCTCACTCTTTTTCTTTATTTGTACTTGCTGTATAATGTGACATTGTACAGACATACTTTAATATATACTTACTAATTATATTAATGAACACATAAATTTGTCGAGGACATAGAAAATGGTATAGCACACTTACAAGTGTTTCTTGAATTAGCTGATAATCCACTGATGGAAACATTTAATAGAATAATTTGTTAAATGGGGATGGTTGAATTATTTTTCATTGTCTGACTCTAAATATTTAAAATAGTAGAGATGAGGCCAACACTATTGGTGAAACACTGTGCGGTATCTTTTCTCATCATTATGATTAGTAAAAATTAGTACTTGGCTGGGCGCAGTGGCTCCTGCCTGTAATCCTAGCACTTTGGGAGACTAAGGCAGGCAGATCATGGGGTTGGGAGTTCAAGACCAGCCTGACCAACATGGTGAAACCCCATCTATACTAAAAATACAAAAATTAGCCAGGCATGGTGGCAGCCACCTGTAATCTCGGCTACTCAGGAGGCTGAGGCAGGAGAATCACTTGAAACTGGGAGAAAGAGGTTGCAGTGAACCAAGATTACGCCACTGCACTCCAGCCTGGGTGACAGAGCGAGACCATCTCAAAAAAACAAAGTTCATACTTTTCTTAGATGTATATTTTAATTTAGATCAGACATTTTATTTTAGATATTCAGATTATATTTTATGTTTTAGTTTAGATAGCTAATTCTCAACCCTGGCTGCAAATTACAGTCACCAGGAAAGCATGTGAAACAACAATAACAATGGCTAAGTGCTAACCCATGTAAACTATGTAAGAATTGTAAGAAACTTTTAAAATAGTACCAATGCCAGGTGTTTCTTTTTTTTTTTTTTTTTTTTTTTTTTTTTTTTTTTT